TTGCACACTTATTTTTTTTTATAGTATTATATTGTGGGATATATATCGATAATGTTCGCTAACGATAGTAGTTGTTTGCCAAAATTGGTTATATATCGATTTTACTCATAATCGATCATTATCGTTTGAAAATTAACCAGATATATATCGATTATTATCATAATCGATGATAATCAGCAGGGGGGATTATAATCGATATATATCTATGGGATTAGTAATCGATATATATCTCTATATAAATTTTGTTGATGTTAGTTAACAGATTTTTAGTTTCTGAAACAGTTAACTATATATTTTTTTTTGAGCTTGCGAGAAAAAAGGGGAATAGCATTAGAAAAACAGTGGACAACTAGTTATTTTCATTTTTATACTGACCGAGTTAGAGAGATTCGAAGCTTCTCATCGTAAAACCAGATTAAAATATGTACTTATATAAGTTTTGAGGTGGATACATTCGAACTATTTCTCATCTCGTAGCTCAGTGGACTAAACCGTGGGAAGCTTATCAGGTCTTCCTCTCCTCGCTACATAGACAATAATAGTCTAACAATCGTGCCCTCTATGATAATGTTTTTATAAATATAAAAAGAAAAATAAATTTTAGGGAGGAAACAGTCGGATCCTAAGCCTACCTCAAAAAGTTATGACTGCACCAAAAAAACTATATTATTAATAAATAGCTAGATAGCATATTTTGCGGAACAAATGAGCACTTTCGCCAAAGTACTGGGCTACCAAATGGTAATTATGAGCATGTTCGATCTCACAACATTGCATAGTCAGAGGCCCTATCACTCAATATTAGGGATAAAATTTTTTGCTTGACTAAACATACCCTTACAAATAACTCCGGCAATTGTCTTATCAACACAAAAACAATCTAGTGTAAGAAAGTGTAATGTAATATTGATATTATATGGCCATGAAATCATGCTATATTCGGTTGTAAATAATTCAACATCGCAGGTATGTACATGTTGTAGTTCTATTTTAACACAATCAATTATGCAAGGTTAGTTTCGAGATTAACATATATAAAAATAAAACTGTATTGGTATTAGGATTTAAGGCTGTGGGACTAGTTTGCATAATAAACATATGATATTTGGAATAAAAAAAGGACTATCACTATAAAAAACATTAATACATGTACATAAAAATACGTAAGATAACAGATAAGCCATAAATATTTAATTATTTTAAGGTTATATAGCATAGCCATCTCTTATAAATAATTTTTATCAAATTCACTTAACTTCTAAACTGAAAATACCAAGAAAAAAATAAAATAAATTTGGGGATAAAAAATAAATTCGCTTTATTGTAACAATAAAATATATAGGCATAGATGCCAGATACATCGGTATAAATGCATCACTTATAAAATGTCTATTGTCTGCGAAGCGAGATATTCTGTATCTAATATGCGCGGATTGAATAACGATGTTCTGATTTTGTATAAGTTTTACCAGTATTGAAATCATAATAATAACCTTCATCATCGTCATCAGAAAAACCACAGAACACCAGGCTGGCTTTATTATGTTATAATATACAGCACAGGAATAGATTAGGGTATTATTACCTCATCTATAATCTCACGAAACTCACCAGTAGTATCCCAAAATCTGGCACTCATCCTCACATTCTTGAAGTCCTTATCATGCCAGAAGTGAGTGATATTTAACCTCCTATCCTGTAATTTAGCAAAAGGCCAGTACGGATCAGATACCACAGAATCCTCCCTAGAAAAATGTACGATCCAAATTTCCTGAGAATGAAGCTGGTCGGCATATGTTATTGCCCGATTAAAATGGGTTATAAGTGTAGGGATGGATCCCGTTGCCTGTAATTCAAGAATTACCTCAGGATAGGGGTTATCTGGTTTTTTTATCGTCAGGTCGCAATAAAAATGGTGCCAATCTCCATCGTTACCAATTCCTTCTAGATGCCACTGAGTAGTTATTTCGAACCTATGCACCTTTGCAAGCCAATTATGCAGGATTCTATACATCTCTGCATCGTAAACACTCTCTCTTGGAACACTTTCATTACACTTGGAATCCACTTGCAGATGGTTTGAACATTTATAGGAGCGGGTGGAGCCCAAGGCAATCGTCTTTTGGTCAAATGTACGAACGGCGGATTTTAATACTTCTAGAGTATTTACGAACCCATTGGCTTGCAAAGGCACATCCACACTCGGACAGAAGCAATTTATATCCGGGACGTATTGCTTCTTTGCAGGGGCGTCTATTATATCTGATTCTCTTTGCCTCTTTCCCAATGATGATACCGACATTGATGGTGATGGCGATGATGCTCGTGATGAAGCTGGTGATGAAGCTAGTGATGAAGCTGGTGATGATGTTGGTGCCGATGTCTTTCTTTCTCTGTTAGCTTTTCGCCATAAGCTATTTGCTTTCTCAACATCGGTCTATATAAAAGCAAAACTAGATGAGAAATGGAATATTATTTTCCAGTAAGCATAGTCAAATAAATAATAAGATTAGATGGCGGGTGCAGGAATATATCAATAGATAAATTTTTACTAATGAATCCTCTTCCAGATTCAACAGATCTTTACTAAAACTTATACCGATAAAATCCATTATGCTCACTAGAACGCATCCAGTAAACGCATCCATTTCAGTACTTGCATGATTCCTACTAGAGCGCATCCAATAGGTACAAAGCACCTGACTATAAAGCCCCATCAAAACTAATTATTCGAAAAATAAGCTTACCTTTCTATTTTTTATAAGATTCTGAGCAACCTCCCGAATATCTTCCGATATACTTAAGTTCTTACTAATACTTTCTAGTGTAATAAAAAACACTTGGTACGCTCTATCCTTTTTAGCAAACTTATAATTATCAAGTATAATGGAGACGTAGTGACGGAGAGACCAATTTTCATATGTGCAAAGCTCGAAATAATTGGCATATGGGATATCGTTGCATGCGGTCAATTTTCCTCGAACATTGATAGTAAAGGTGGTAGACATGATAAAAATGTATTAGAAGTCTGGTGTACAAAAAAAATACGGCAATTACAGTAAAAAATATACATGTCGAACTCACCCCACAGGTCTTTTTATATTCCGCAACTATGAAATTAAGGCAAATGGAAGGAGACGCGTTAAAGTAACTTAGCAAAAAGACGCGAATATCCGAGTTCTACAGTGCAAATTGGTATAATGCTATTTTAGTGTGAACAGCTCGGGTGCTAATCCAGAATAGGCAGATCATGCTTATGTCACACTAATTATATACTGCTAATTTATGTCGCACACGCCTACATGAAAAAATAAATCAAGTGAATAAATCGAATCATGACCCAATAATAATTATGTGAATAGGCTACGTATAAATGTATTAACGTTATTATTATTTAATACGTCGAGAATTTTCACATTCACATCGCTTATATATTCCATCCGCCACCTTTTTGCATGTTTTGCAATATAGGTGTGAATGATGATTGCA